TTTTTTTATCACGTCAGTTTACGTAAAACGGATGAAACTCCAATACTAGCGTGATAAGAACTATTCGATCACTTATGTTTTCTCACAGGCGACAAAATATGCACATTGTCAACTACATATATCGGTGACAACATGAAAATTCTGAGGATTGGAAATTCGAAAATACTCGCACATAAATTCCTATTACTAGTGAGTAAACTCTTGAGCTCAGCTGAGGAAAGCAAACATATTTTCCAACACTGGTTTCTCACATTGATTCCGTTGATCATATATTTCATCAACATCAACTGTAGCTCCTGTGAGGAATTCCCTGTGTGTATTGTCATCAAAACCGCGATTGGTATCGCCTGGTGGGTTCGATGCAGTGACGGGTGAAATGTCCAAATCTGTGGTCATCTGGTGCGAACACCATATATATTCAAAATCAATCCTACGACAAGTGTCAGGATATGTTTACTCCGAGAAAATAACACACTTGAATTGGAGTAGAAATGTACAAAATTCAACGAAAATTTGGTGCACATGTTCCCCTGCGGAGAAGAAAGATCTTCACAACTGCTCAACTAAGATACACTGTGCGGTAACAGACTTTCATAAAATGTTTCCTCTTGCGATCTACTACAGACACCGAGTAGTATCTGTGCATTCGTGACCATACTTCCTATCTAACCTCACCGCTCAATTACGCGGTTACTTCGTTATCACCTTAGGTGAATTGCAAACTACCATTAAGGTCAGGACTCGACAAGGACATATTTATTACGGTGGAAGAAAATATGCACATGTTCAACTACATGTGATGGTGAAAATATAGAATTTCTGACAAAATTTTGGTAAATTTTCGTTGCTTTTGTACATTTCTACGCAAAATAGTGTGTGCGAATTTTCATAATGTAGTAAGAAAACTTCTGAGCTCAGTTGAAAAACCAACCATAAATTCCCAGACTAATATAATATCTCTCTTGGGAGCTCAGCAGCTATACTTCAGATCCAATTCACGTTTGCCAATTCTCCTATCAGAATCGCACATGCGCCAATACTCGATGTAGAAGAGGACCCTCTATTGCTACACCTAGCGTTCCCTCCCTTCCCCTTAAATTCGATTAAATACCGTAAATTCGCAAATCCCCCAAAAATGACGAAAACTATACTCAACCATATCATGTTCAGCTGCAATATATTAACAAGGAATAAAACTCGCCCATAGGTTTTTCATGTTAGACTAGTGATCTACACTTTACCAGCCGGTAGCAACGCCCCATCTCCTACTGTACCTAACACGTGCAGCAAAGCTGAACAGCACCAAACTCGGTGGTGTCCACGAGCTCGTCCTCGTTGTTGAATACCCCGATGTTAGAGCGCCGCGCCAATGTATATGCGCAGTGTTGGAATATATGCTCGTTTGCCTCAGCTGAGCTCAAGAGTTTCCTCACTAATAATAGAGATATATACACAAATTTGGGTAGGAGTGTTCCGAAATCAACAACAGTCTCTCGAAATTTCCTCAAATTTTTCATATTGTCATCACCGACATATGTAGCTGACCATGTGCATATCTTCCTACACTGTATATGCGTACATTACGATTGAGCTATAGTCACAAGGTTCCCCTTTTCCCATAGATCAGTTCATACCGATCTGTTCTGATCGTTAGTTCTCTACGACTCCCACAACACGCGATGTCGTCGAAAACTAGAACCATGCAAAATTCAACATCTACACAAGCCGTAGCTATGGGGTAAAACTGCGTTGAAAATAATTCCAACAAAGTGAGAAAAATTTTTTATATACGAGGAAACGCAGCATTGTGCATAAAAACGTCTCCTGTGGGATTCGAACCTGAGCTGGGTTTGGTCTCCAGAATCAAAGCCTTGTACTACTATCAACATATATGGTAAACTAATATACAGCAGTGTTGGAATATACTCACTCGAGCTCGGGAGTTTCCAAA